GGTGCCGGGAAGAGGGAGAGGGCTGGGGGGCATTGGGTGGGTGGCTCTATCTGTGCCAGGTGCAGGGTCTGCTAGCTGAGTGCTGGCAGGTTTGCACCTGGCATGGGCACCGTAGCCAGCCCGTGCCCCTTTAAGGGCTCCGGGGCCGGGAGGGGGGCATACGAGTTTCCCTGGTGTTGGCCAGAGTGGCCACCAGGGAAAGCTGGGGAGGGCTAGCCTCCCACTAGTTCGAATTAAGGGGCTACACACCCCTTAATTTGAACTAGTAAGTTCGAACTAGGCTTAGTCCTCGTAGAATGAGGTTTACCTAGTTCGAACTAAGCGCTCCGCTAGTTCAAATTAAGTTCGAACTAGCGGAGCGCTAGTGTAGCGCCTATCAAAGTTAATTCGAACTAACGTTTGTTAGTTCGAATTAACTTTGTAGTGTAGACATACCCTTAGAGTTTGCTGCTCTGTACACTGTATGGCCAAGGGAATGAGAGACTCAGAGCCTGGGACACACCTACTGGGACTGCCTGCAATCAGAGACCTGCCCTGGGGGAACACAATCCAGACCAGATTCTTGTGGTGTGGCAGAAATCAGGGTCAGCCAACCAGAGCTGGCGTATGCATGAGTCCCAGATCCTACCCCGCCTCCATTCCCAGCCTGGATCAGGCACTTGGAAAGGTGAGACTACTGAGCTACAGGGAGACTTGCTGCTCAGGGAGAGGGGAGGCTGAAAGGAATTTGCGAGTGTAAGTTTGATCCAGCGGTTGGCTCTGACTGTGTCCTTTTGGCATGACAGGTAAGAGTCCTGCCAGCCATAGGCTAGTGTCCGGCGGCGAAGGGAGATGTTAGGGTGTGTGTGTGTGTGTGCGAGCAGGAGAAGAGTGTGTGAAATCTTTATAAGTTAGGACTTTTAAAGGCAGACTGCATAAACTGCTAGCAAATGGACTCGTGCCAGGACAAACTTGCCTTGGCAAGGGTGGGAGTGCACGAAATGATTCAGTGATTCTTTTGCCTGGCTGCTTTCTGTGATTCATGGAGTTTTCCTAAGACACCGCAGCCCTGCCCTGCAGGCACCTTGTCCCTGCCTGTGGACGGAAGTTGCACTTTCTGCTGCACAGTTTACTTTGGCCTATTTATGTTTGTTCATCCTGCCTACACATAGCTGTCCAGTGGGGTCCCCCTCCTGCTGTGGGGAAATCCCTCCTCCCTCCGGGTCTGCTGCTGTGTGTGTGTGTTGGGAGGAGACAGGGATGGGAGAAGGAAATTTAGTTTCCATGTTCACTCTTACTTGACAAGACTTCTAGACACTGTGTTGCCCTCTCCCTGCAGTTCAGTTCAGCCTTACCTGGAGGGGGGGGGGTCTTGGTGGCAGGGGAGGGAAATTCAACCTTAGAACCAGTCAGGCCTTGGTCTTTCTGCTGTGACTGCCTGTCAAGAAACTGGTTGTGGATTGCTTCCCCCTCCTCGGATTTCCTTACTGTCTGGGTAATTCAAATTCAAATCAGTTTCCAGGGAGCAGAGTTCAACCCAGCAGTGTCAGGGTTTGCCCACTGGGGAACATTGTGGGTTCCCTTCACACAATGCTAAAGTAGGCAAGTTCTTATCATAAAAATTGAACAGGGACTCTAAGCAATTGCTTGGCCTGCGTATGGCCAGTGCCAGCTCTGTGGACTAGTTTAGGGGCTGGCACCCCCTTCAGGGCTGCTGTTAATACCCCTTTTGCATAGTTCTGTCAGCTGCAGAAAAGAACATTAGTTGCCCCAATATATCTCCCCAAGACCTTCTAGCCTATAGGGGTACTGCAGGCACCTCGAGTTCTAATTACCCCCAAGGGCAACAGGCCCTTGCTGGATTAGCTCCTATTCAACTCTCCAGCTGACACTCTTGCTGTGCAGATCGGTATAGTTTAGACCCCAGTTTAGCAAATGACAATCCCATTCTCACCCTGGGGGCTGTGGACAGAGCTTTCCTTGAGTGGAGGATTGTCCTGAGGACAATGCAGGAACAGGAGTGTTGTGAGCAAGACACAAGATGCAGTTCTGCTCAACTCTGTGCTGATTAGGCCTCAACTGGAGTATTGCATGGGTGTCCGGTATAATAGGCCGGGGAAGCTTTGCCTTCCCAAACCAACAGCCTGGCCCTGCCCACACTCCACTCCCACAACACCTACTGTAGGCATGCTGGGGGCGGTGTCTTGCTGCCCCCAGCACCTGCCCTCCCCAGTAGTCTTGGCCAGGGAGACTGGGGTGCACATGTGCTCACCCTCCTCCCCTCTCCATGGTGGGGGTGGGTGCACGGAGAAGCAGCTTGGCTCCCGTGGAGGTTGGGGCCTCAGCAGAAGGGATGGGGCTAGGGGTGGGCAAGTCCCTAGCCCTACCTTCAACGACCACCCATAGGGTATGTCTACACTACAAAGTTAATTTGAACTAACGGACGTTAGTTCGAATTAACTTTGATAGGTGCTACACTAGCGCTCCGCTAGTTCGAACTTAATTCGAACTAACGGAGCGCTTAGTTCGAACTAGGTAAACCACATTGTACGAGGATTAAGCCTAGTTCGAACTTACTAGTTTGAATTAAGGGGTGTGTAGCCCCTTAATTCGAACTAGTGGGAGGCTAGCCCTCCCCAGCTTTCCCTGGTGGCCACTCTGGCCAACACCAGGGAAACTCGTATGCCCCCCTCCCGGCCCCGGACCCCTTAAAGGGGCATGGGCTAGCTACGGTGCCCGTGCCA